TACGATATCATGCTCAACCTCATCCAATAAATGCTTAATATTCGCGCGCGCTTCAGTATGGAAGAAACCTTCAGCGTGGAACATACCAAGCAGAAGGCTATCTGCAGAAGATTTACAATCTATTAATGACCGTTATGAATAACACACTATACAAGTACTGCATTGGTAAGTACTGCATGAGAAGCATCCATTATACCTGGACAGTGGTTGCTTGTGCAATTCCATCTTCCATTTTTGCAAACGCTAAGATGAAAATCAAAGAGATGATTTAGAAAGACGAAAAAATATGTATAAACAAATGCAATAGATATATTTTGTAATTCCAGGCCACGTTTGTACAAAGGGTGGATAAATTTATTGTATAACAGCATCGACTTGACCACTGGATAAGGATTTATCTGTTGGATAGCGCTATCCACCCTTCGTACAACCGGACCCAGGAGTATAGTGTACGCACTAACCACTGATTGCAGTCACGTTGAATGACCGTTCCAGATTCAAAGCGTTTCTTGTGGTGTTCACACGGACACTCTGTTTTCTTAATGCATCTGTTTCCATCCAACATCGTCCCATCAGGGCACATGCAGCCATCGATGCAGTGTTGTGGACACACATAGCTGCGCTTCCTCAGCTGACAAGTTTGAGGACAAGTTGAACCACATTCGATGTGTACAAACCCTGAAGGACAGCTTACAGCTAATGTGGAATATCAAAAATATTTAGTATTAGAATGATGTTTTAAATAATTAGTATAGGAAATATCACCGTTCGAGAAGAATTAGTCAAAAACGCCCGTGAAATGAAGGTGCTTCCATTAATAGTCCCCTTCACAGTTCCCTGCGCCATCTTGACAGGTAGCCGTGCCTTTGCATCGCAGCGAGACGAACCGTGAGCTTGCAATGATTAAGTCATGTGAATAATTGTTCAAGGTGTTAAAAAAAGTCTCTATCATTGCAAGCTCACCGTTCGTCTCGCTTCGATGCAAAGACATGGCTACCTTTCAAGATGGCGCAGGGAACTGTGAAAGGGATTATTGCGGTTTTTTGAATCAATTCTTCGATAACTGAGGTGGTATTTCCTTTTAATAACACAAGAATAAAAACGCGTTGATTATATTAAATAAACTTTTTGTGTATTATTCAAACCGTACGCGTGCGTGCCATTAATTAGTTGCACGGATTGAGAACAACTTGACAGCTTATCAACCAATCAAGAACAAGTAATTTTGTAGATAAGCACCTTGTTAGGAGATGGATTTGATGCTAGGGAGAAGGATTTGTTGTTTACAAATGCATGTGCACCTAATTCATAGTCAGACGGATGCAATGGCTAGAAATGCGCACGTCATTTACGGAGAAGGATGTGATGGCTACACTTGCGCATCCCCTGGGAGACGTGTCAGATTTCTAAAAACAAAAATGTGATGATAAAATAGCATACCTTATATGGTGAGATACATTCGACGTATGTCGAGAATAACATGGAAATACAAAAGAAATCACACTTTTTCTCGATGGAATTTGTGGCATTTCTTTTGTATTTTCATGTTAGCCTCGCATTCTATTCAGTTTTAAAAGAGTTCATTCAGGGAAAAGAATGGAAAGTATAGAGCGTTTTCACGTGACGTCACAGATGCCATTATGGGGTACCAAAACAATACATTTTCTATCCTCCAGGAATTGAACTCTATATTTATGCAAATACTGTGCAGAAAGTTTCTATTTTGTATGGATGCCTTCTCACGTGAGTGAAAACGCTTTATAAGCGTGCGCAAACACCATTTTCTCAATGCTGCGTGCGCATCCAATCTTAACGGACTGAAATACGCAAATTCAGTAAAATGGAGAAGCCAGTTCTATATTTGAAGAGGAGAATAATCGATTTTATGAATTGGTGTCAAAAAATCTCATAGAAATGTATGATAATTCTCATTATGAAGCTCCTGTTCTGGTATCGTGGCCCTTCAAGTTTCTTAAATTTGAGTGAGCGCGCAACCTTGAGAAAAAGGTCTCAATATTCATTACATAGTATGTACAGCTTTTTAGAAACCTACTTACGGCATAAACGTTCTGTCCTCCATTGCAAATGAACTTTATTCCTAGAACAGGCCCTGGAATACTGTGTTAACGCATCACAGATACAGTCAGTCATGTTGTTTAATACACATCTACATGCCTCTTGTTTGCACATATCGATGTATGGTGTTGGGTCCACCCTTGCGTGACATCGGCCGAAAATCCCAAGATCTTGAAGCAGCTTGCATTTCTCTTGGGTCTGCAGTACAACATATAGAGGATATTACATGGGCGCGCGGAGATACGAATTTTATCTTCAAGTGTTGAAAAGATCTCTCACGAGTGAGCGTAGCAATGGTGTTATTTTCACGTGTGAAGATATCAATTTTTAGAAATAGAGATCGAAAAATAGATATTTCATTAGTAATTATATAATAAATAGATATATTGAATGATCATTGCACTGTTATTAAATCAAAAACATTTCTGTTGATGACAATAATTTTCTCTGTTAAAGGGGCCAAGATGAATGTTATCTGTAATATAATTAGTAGCCTGCGTAGCGGCGCTTTGGGGAGGGGAGAGAGAGGAGAGGAGGAAGATAGGGGACTGGGGGTGAGGAAAGAGAAGGGAGCTATTAACATATTAGGCGCAAAAATAGCGGCCACGTTTCTTCGTGTCCAGTTATAATCTATACTTCCTGTATTTAATTTATGACATTGGTTGATTGAATGGACTTTACTACGAAGAAGTAATGCGTTTAGAGCGATTTTTCTCAGGCCGTGAAGTAGCTGGTAGACTAAAGAAAGTTAGTAAATCTTATTTCCATCGTTTTCTTTTGGGTCTCTTTGATTATTTAAAAGAACAGATAATTTGAGAATAAAGCCCAGTGAAATCGCACTATACATTAGCTACTAGAAATCTTTTTACGGTCTGAAGAAAACTAGCTCTTTATCTGTAAGACTGTTCCATATCATGAGACGACGCATATCATTTTATCTTAAGTGACATTCGCCCAGCTTCAATTTTTGAAGAGGCGAAACGTGGCTATAATCATACTGCACCTTATTAACATGCGCACCAATCACTCCTTGACAAGGTAATTTTGTTTCCGCTTCTTGCGTATTTGGACAGGTGTCTTTCACATTTGCCATGCGCCAGCTATTCCCAAACTGAGCTACAGAGCTCGTCCGCTGACCGTTTAAAGTTACAAAATCGTCATCTGGTAGACCGTTGTAGTTCCCACACAGACCGCACGTGGTGTTAACGTGCTTGGATGTTAGATGAATATAAATGCTATCCTGCCCATCCCAAAGCACTGTTAGTCCACTGAAACCATGGACCAAGACGTAACTGGAAACCCTTTCGATGATGACATTGTTGACTATGTAGGGTAGGGTGACGTTCGTTTTGTCCACCTGTACTTTTTGATCTTCAAGATGAACCTTAGGATAAAATAAATCAAAGTTTAACTGGATCTGAGAAGAGAAGAAAACAAAACGGTGTTTTGGGGTCAGGGAAAGAGGGAAGATTGGAGGTTGAAGGGGAGCGTTCCCCTTTTGATAATCCTGGGCACGCCTCTGTTTTATTTGGTTGATAATATCAGTAATAATGATCATTGGGTTCAACCCTTTTATATTGGATGAGAAACAAAAAAAACTCCAATTTAACAACTACTACATGTGCATGCCATGGATATCGAGTTTATTTGCTGTTAGTGTTGTAGGGCACAGCGCAGACAGGGCAGGCAGGGTAGGCAGGGTATGGACCCATGAGGTGTTCTGCATGAAGCTCCTTTAAAGAATGGCTGGATATGTCCCTGATATCTGAAATACGTTAGTCTCGTACGCAGCCGCAATTAGTGTCGTCACGCAACGCTCACTCTGAGTTAGCTTAGCGTGACGACACCAATAGCGGCTGCGTAGGAGACTAGAAATACGTGCATTAACTTACTTATAAAATAACTATTATGAATCTTGCATTATAATCAGATATGAGCGCATGCATTATGAAAGCACAAAGAACGCGCTCGAATTTTCAGTTGAGTCATTCCTAACCAAAATAATGGTTATCGTAATTCATATTGACACACAGCACATGCAGCAAGCAAGTTTTTTATTTCTTTTATGAAATACAGATTACAGTAACCGTTATTTTAGATAGGAATGACACTACGGAAAGTGCGCGCGCGTGCAATGTGCTCTCATAAAGCACGCGCTCCAAACCAATCAGAACGCGACATTCATAACAGTTATTTTATAATGTTTTTATAAAAGAAATAAAAAACTTGCTTACTGTGCTGTGTGCAGTTATAAAGCACATGGGGATTGGCAGAGCACTCGAGAAGTGTCGAGAAGCACTCCGCTACGCGTCGTGCTTCTCCTAACACTTCTCTCGTGTGCTGCGTTTTGTATTTCTTCAATAGCCATCTTACCTTGATATTCGAACCACCAAGATAAAGATTAACAGACCGCTTACATCCAGAATGACTTAGACAATAGGGGTCATGATACACGTGAACTGAGAACATGTCATCCCGACAGTCATGAACAAGCTTGTAGGTACACCGACCAGGAAAATAGAAATATCGACCATCAAATGTACGGTAATGCGAGAGCCATGTGTAACAGAGGTTAGGCTCGTTCATTATGGAGGATATTGCTGAAGATGAAAAAATACAAAGTATCGATGCTTTACAAGCATTATAAAGAGAGTCAAACTGAAAAGCCAATGTGCATTGATCTCCAGCAGAAAGCATGATGGGAAACCGAGTATATTCACCATTTTCCATACATTGGTTCACTGGTCAAACACAAAACGCTCAAGCCAGGCGCCAAGGCACTTTCAAAGGATTTATACAAATTTGAACCTTGCAACCTCAACTGAATGCTTTGTGTTTGACCAGTGAACCGATTTATGGAAAATGATGAATTAATCTCTAGCACAAAGCATGATAGGAAACCAAGTACTTTGGCTTTTTCGGTTCCTCTAATAAAACTTCATCTGACAATTTTTCCTTCGACATTTTCTATGGAAATGTAAGTATTTCAAGAGACAAAAATAACAAATTATCTGATAGTTCCTTCGATTTCCCTATTTCATTTGTGCGTTACTCGGTTATCCAGAGTGCTTTGTGAGCTACATTGCCTATTGCAAAGACATACTGGTCATGCTGGTGGTATTAACAAAGGAAGTAATGCGATATCAACATGGCCGCGATGACGTAACGATCAAACGAAGAATTAAAGGCTTTGCACCATCACGTGATGGCAGCCCTGATGACAGGAGGCACAACAATACAGTCGTTGTCCCTGAGAAACTAAAATCAGATTACACCGGATTCGATTGTTCCTGCCTCCTGTCATGGCTGCCACCACGTGATGGTGCAAAGCCTCTTTATAACTCCTTGATCGCGAAGAGTACTCTCAGGACTCCGAGGGTGCACGCGTTATCTCGTTCTCCTCACCATCCATATTCTGTTTCAAGACTATCAGTTGAAGGAAGAAAGGGAAGTACTTTCATGGGGTAGAACTTCGGACCACGTACTAAGAAGGCCGTGGATCTCTACTTTAACTTATATGCCTTTTTTGGTCCCCTTGAATTTCAAAATAAGTATACTAAGATGCGTGACTTTTTAAAGTACCTACCACTCGTTGATGAGACTGTCGACGGTTTTGATGAAGCTTTGATCAGTGCTACAAGCAAAAGCCAAATAAAATGAATGCGCGAGGGCGGAACGCAGGGGTTTCGGAAATCGTTCTGGATGCGCCACTGCTATAGTCTCCGACGCAAACGTTTTTTATATGGACTGTCACGCAAAGTTTCCTTACGAAATTTTATTATTACTCCTTGCGCTCATGCCACTCGTTCCCATGACCTGAGACATAATGAGCTAATTCACACTTACTACAGCCCTAGTCCTTTCCATACTCGACCAAATCTATCCTCTCCATACTCGACCAATAACGTTGGATATAATTTGCTCATCCTACGCGGTTAGCATACCCAGTTCTCGTTAAGGATTCTCGCACAGAATGGGCACGGAGTGGAACTAACTATTCATCTGATGTAATCATAGTGCGCAAAATTACTACTGAGCGCGGTACGGCACGTGCACGGTGCGGCACTGTACGTCTATTGCTAGAGCTTCATAGTCATACAAACTGCTCTATCGTTATCTAAACCTACTTACTGTATTGACAAAAAGGACCATCGTAATGGGCTGGACACAAACAGACGTTTTTAGTAACACAGCTTCCACCATTCAAGCAAGGAGGAGTGCAGGTTACTAAATAGGAAACAAAGTATTGATAATTCTAGTATTCTTTAACAATTAGGTCATTCTCTAGCATGTGAAGGAACTTTTCTCATAAAAGGAGGAAGTACTAGACAAATGAACAAAACCTTAAAACTATCATGATATATCACTGATGCATAATCGCAATACACATAGCTCTTTAGCTTACAATAGAGTGTACTTAGTTATTTTCTCATTTCAGACCACTTGTCATTCTCTTGAGAATAAGAATCTATGTTTGACTTGTATCCATATTCATGTGTCTTCTSATGCGCAAACTTTAAACAAAGAAAAGATACTCAAGGGAATGACAGGTGGTTTGGAAATGTGCTAACCAAATTAATCGCAAGTTAAAACAAAACCCAATACAACCAGTGATGTACTTACCATATATTCTACTGTGGTTAGAGATAGATAAGGTAGGTAGCATACACTGCAATCCTCCACATGTCGTAGGGCAGCACTTCATGTTCTTACGGCAGTCATCATCTCGTGTGCAGTTTCTTGTACAGGCGGTTCCTGATGTGTTGGTTGGTGGTACAGGACATTGTCCTGGTCTAGGTTGATCAGCCTGTCTTCTTTCATTAGTATCATATGAATCCACCCCTATTAACCCGAAGTAACAGTCAATAGTTTTAAAGTGTGACTCACAGCGGTACAGACGTGCCGTGCCGTGTCTGTGACGGGACTATAATGAGCTTTTCCATGGACTGAACAGTAATCTCGCGCACTGCTTGGTTCGAAAGATGGCTTATCGTGGTGGTGCCGTTTCACAGCAGTGGCAGTGAACTTATGGATATGGCGGGAAAATCTCTAAAGATGAAACTCGTGTACGCGTTTCTTGGCGGGAAAATGGTACATTGACCCCCTATGACCGAGACCTCGCTACGCCACTGCTTTCAGGCAAGTGTAATTCATGTACTTAGAGTTATGTGTCACAAATATTTTGAAGCTATGTGAGTTAGGATAGAGTTTAGAAGATCAGACTGGAAAAAAGCAATACTTTCTCAGTTTGCGACATCGATCCTCAACAAACTGAATACAAGTTTCTCGCGGTTGTTGCACGTTTAATTTTTTTACTTACTTTCTGAGCACAATTTTCCTTTCCATCCATTGCAGCATTTCTTGACTATACGAAAAGCTGTCCCCGTTATATGACGTTTGGCGGGCTCGTGAACAAATCTTTGGGTTCAAATCAGAAAGACGAGAAAATGGTTGGATGTCACGTTTATCATATTCGGCCACGATCAGTGATGAGTCACGGTCATCGTGTCACAACAGTCACTCACTATCAATATAGGACGTTTGCTTGATGGCGTCATTCGACTCCAACTACCATAATGCTTCGCGAATTTTCTGACATATTTAAACTTGTACTCCCTCATGATAATATTGAGACAATTGGCGCTAATTAACTAAACAAAAGAAAGTGTGCAAAGTGCGTCTGGTAGTAGAGGTCAATGACGCCATCATGCAAACGTCTTATTTGATCAGTGATGATCATCACGCCAAGTCACGTCACTGTCGTCACGCCAACAGTAAGAGACCCAGTCATCAGCGAAACCGAGTCCCAAGAGTCATTGCCTCATAATTTGATATCACACTTATATCACGATTGCTTGCGAACTGTAATGTCATGAGTTTATACGAAAGAAATTAATTTAAGTAATGTTTCCGACGGCTGTGTGGATGTCTATGAACAGAACAAATAAAGATGGTTCAAACTTTCAATATATGAATAACAGCAAAAGCTTTTTGCAATAAAAACTTTCAGACAGTCTCCCAATCTATTCTTAGCGTTCCCACGTGACGTCAGAATGCCGCCATGCTGGATGCATTTGTATGTCTCAGGTTTTTTTTCGTTTTTTTTTTTTTTAATCATTGCTCTTGCTGTTTTGTTCTCTTGGCTTTCTCAACGTTCCCTTTGAAATTTTTTACTTTTTTTCTTTCTTTTTCTGACTTTAGTATTCATTACTTGCCATCCACTTTATTTTCCTTCATAGTTTTATTTTCCAACATTAATTGATGCTTCTAGTACTACATGTTTACCTGTATCTTGTACACTTTCCAAGTGGTTTCTTGACTCCATGTGTCAGACATGGTACTTGAAAAGCCTTTAACACTCTTCTATAATATTGCTTTTCCCGCCATCGTCTGTATGGTTGACGAAACGAACACAAGTGATTCTGTTTGCCATTGTTCTCTGAAGGTGCCGCTTTTGCCAGAGACTCAAGATCGTCAAGTCTAAAAGCAAATACATTAACGGAACACAATCAAACCTTCATTAAAAATCAGCTTTTGAGCGGCCTCTACCCCGCTAGTTCTCTTAACCCACTATATGTGAGTAGTTGTTTAGTACATTGCACCACCTGTGCTACGAGCGAGGGTCTTTCTCGGGTTTATTCTCAGCTTCCCGCAACAATTCTTGGGTTGTATGTTATGCCATAGCTCACGTGCTGGTTGTGGATAACAATTCCTCGTTAGCTTTTTCTTACCTATTTTTAGCCTTTATTAATTCTTGGAGTGCATGTTACGTCATGGCCGCCATGTTGGTTGATAGCAAAGCCATTCCTAGCGGCTGTTTTATTGTTATATATATCTCAAGGCATTATGAGTCATGTGGTTGCACTCCAAGAATAACGAAACAAAATTTTGCATAGATCTGAACGGCTCTATCATTGCATGGTGACCGCCATTCTCGCTTCGATGCACAGAAACGGTAACCTTTCAAAATGGCGCAGAAAACTGTGGAGACTATTTCTCAGAAACATTGAATTTCAATACTTAGTAATATCTTGTTTTTTTTATATCTCTAATTCAGGATCGATCACGAGAAGCGAACCCTACCTGACCACGCCCCTATGAGTCTCTGTATGGCCATGTCGACGACACCGATGAGATTCAATAATGTCATGCTACAACCTCACGACTTTGCATTGTGCAGTCGGATAATTCCGTTAATTGACAATTATATTGACTTTGATTCAACATTCATTGGAACGTGCCAGAAGAAGTCTCAAAATCGGCGCATACTACGAGTGAAGGGATCACCAAGCTTACTTTTTAAAAACCTAATTTTTCCCCAGTTTTTTGCGCTTGGGTCGACACCGCGACGCCAGGATATCGCCAGGATATCGTAAAAAGTGTTTTTTCGATACGCAAACTTGTGAGGGAGATCGAAAAAACTGAATTAAACTATTTTCTCTACGAACCTCTTGCATGGAAAGAGATACAAGACAAGAAAATACAACATTCTTAAAACCATACATGCAAACGAAGATCTGAATATGCGATGTATCGTGTAACAGCAACAACAACAAAAAAAGAACAATAATGAATCATAAGTTCAAGTTAACGTTCTTGAAAAACAAAAAAGGCTTTGAAGGCATTAATTATTTAAAGAAGAAATCTTTCTTAAGGGTATCATTTCTTGTGGGTAGTTGAAAGTTTAAAATTAGCGTTATGAATCTCTAATATTTATCTAAAAACAATACCATTCCATAAATACATTAAAGTACTTGAGCGTTTAAACAGCTGAGACGAAAAGTGTGCCCTTCCATTTACAAACATCAGTAAACACTTGTTTTAAGGTTTCAGACTCATTTAGAGATCAATGTAAAGAAACAAGAGAACTTATGACTTCTGTAGTCAAATATCTGTGATAAAAGGCGGAAGGGATGCCAAAAGATACCGAATAATCCCACACCTTTTCTATTTTTACGCGTAATTTCGTAATTCTCCGAAAGCAAAATTTTAAAAAATATATCATTTTTCCAATCCATTTTTCACCAAAAATGTGTGGTTGCGTAAGAGCATAAATTTATATTCTATTAACTGGCTTTGTGTCTAGGACAATTGTAATGGTTTTTACAACAAAACATAATAGAAACAGAAAGAAAAAATATGAATAGTGTGCAAGAATCAGACAACATATAAAACAGAGTAGTACAGTAAAGAAAATATAGAACATATACTGTTCACTTACAAGGAAAGTTCATCAAGGTCTAGAGATTGGATTGGACCTGTCAGTAGTACGACACAACCCACCAAGCCAAGGTACATCCATAAAGTCTTCATTTATGGGAGTTTTTGTAATATTTGTGAACGTTTTTGAGAAATTTTTCCTTTTATCAGGGACACAAACTGCTGGTGTCTATTTTAGCAGTTGTTAACAGTAGCTGAGCGTTTCGCGTGCACTAACGTTGTGTCAGCTGGCAGAGGCGTAATTGAGTGTATTGGAGAAACTAGAAATTTGATCACCTGAGAGTCCGCATTTTAGTGCAATTATCTTTGGTCGTAATCAGAGAAATCGCTTTAGTCGTTAGCGGAGTGCTTGGCAGGGTCTTCATGGTTGAAGAGATCTACGGCCTTTATTAACCAATGAGAAGAGACTAATACTGATAATGAGAAATGGAAGTGACAAGTTGATAATTTACTAAATCGAAAGCCAAACAACAAAGAGATCATAGATCGTTAACTAAAACTGGATATACATGGCCTTGGACCATGTTTTCCCACACCACAGGCAGCCCGCAGATCGCAATCTTCAGCTTGAACGAAATTTTCATGGTTTAATCACTTGATCGAAAAAAAAAAAAAAAAGAATAAAGTGCATGCCTTCACTTTTTACAGAATTCTATTCTTATGGCTTTTATATTCAGATATCTGCTTTGAAACAATTTCATTTCAAAAGAAAGAACTAAATTTTCGAGGCTAACGTGACCACCTAGTTTTTAATTCATTTGCGGATAATCAGGATCAGAATTTTATTAATAGACCAAGTTGAAACTTGGTGCTGTCAGTAATTATCGAGATATTCGCAACTGAAATTTGGTAACCACGAAACTTTTAGCGCAAAAACTGGAAAAATTCAACAGTCTTTAATAGGACTCCAAAACAAATTTTTAGAAAACATACCATTTCTTCGAAACACAAAGTCCTACATGTATGCATATAATTTACAGTAAAGTAGTTTATGGAAGTACTGTATATATAAAATCCCCAAGTCAATTCACCAAAGATTTATTATTTTTATTGTTTTCCAATAAACACCTAGAAATAAAACTGTCAGTTTGGCAAAGCAACTGCAGATTCAATGATCACAAATTTCTCACTTCTCAACCATAAGGTTTCAAACATCCGCATACAAAGAGAGTGTACGAAAAAATAGTAGGACATTCACATGTACGCAGTTTAGCTGGCTTCTTCGGCAAGCCTTTCAGCTTTGGCAACAGCCTCGTTGATGTCTCCTACCATGTAGAAAGCAACCTCAGGAAGATGGTCCATTTCACCTTAAGAATGACATACGAGAAGTAAGACAAACAATGAAAAAATCTAACAATAACAAAATATCACCACAAATTGCACAAGGAAACAGTATTTTTGAGCACCTATACCTACCTCTTAAGATTTTCTGAAAGCCAGAAATTGTTTCCTTTAAAAAAAGAATTTCAATATGTTAGTTTATCTCACCTAACAACTATCCTGGTCAACAAAATCCAATAAATGTAAAATATAAGAAATCATATTTAGTTCAAACCAGAGACATCAAAATAAATGATGAAATTCAACAATGATTCAAAAAATTGAACAGTTCTTACATACCTTAAGGGGTACAAGCTTTCCTTGATGTCCAGTGAATACCTCAGCTGTCACAAAAGGTTGCGAAAGGAATTTTTGGATCTTACGGGCACGGGAAACTGTGAGTTTGTCATCTTCAGACAACTCATCCATACCCAAGATGGCAATAATATCTTGTAGAGACTTGTAGTCCTGAAATGTGATATAATAAAGTTAGAGCTGTTGTAGAGCATTGAAGTAATGGTCAGTTAATGCCAGGAATGATAAGATTTGATGAGTAAAATCTAAAGTATTATAAATAAGCCATATTGTCCAGCTATATTAGCCAGGTGTGAGATGGAGAATACAGAAAGGGATGAGTGCTTTTAGTTTACCTGAAGAATCTTCTGTACACCTCGTGCAGTTTCATAGTGTTCACCTCCTACAATATTTGGGTCCATAATACGAGAAATGGAATCTAGAGGATCTACAGCAGGATAAATACCCAACTCAGCAATACCACGTGACAAGACAGTTGTGGCATCCAAGTGAGCAAAAGTGGTGGCTGGAGCAGGATCAGTCAAGTCATCAGCTGGTACATAGATAGCCTGAAAGAAAGAAAATATGTTAAACATTCACTTAGGCTGCGTTCATAATGTATGGCAGAGGGGCAGGTGAAATTTAGGGGGGATTGGAAAAATATTTACCAGTAAAATGGGGGAGTTTTTTTTTTGTCATTTAAAGACTTCACCTGCACCCTCTCTGACATACATCATGAACGCAGCCTTAGTACTTGGAATATCATGTTACATAATGAATCAGATGCAATTAAAATTAAAATTTTGCATCACATATATAGGTAGGTACATGTACATTAGCATCATGGTGTCTGCCTCAAAAACTAAAACTAACAATACCTCACATTTTGCTGAACACATACCTGTACTGAGGTGATGGATCCCTTCTTTGTGGTGGTAATTCTTTCTTGCATAGTACCCATGTCAGTGGCAAGAGTAGGTTGGTATCCTACAGCAGATGGAATACGACCAAGCAAAGCTGATACCTAAACGACAAGCCACACACTTATCACAAACCTTTGTTCTGTAACTTCAATAAACTTAAATGTTCTGTAACTTTAAATTTAATAAACTTTAAATTATTTTGCTAAGTATGTTTCACAAACCTCAGAACCAGCCTGGGTGAAACGGAAGATGTTGTCAATAAACAACAACACATCTTGGCCTTCAGCATCACGGAAATATTCAGCAACAGTCAGACCTGAAAGGGCCACTCTGGCACGAGCACCTGGGGGCTCATTCATCTGTCCGTACACAAGTGCCACCTAGAGAAACCAAATTGTGATATCAGTATTTTTCAACACTGTTTAAATCAGAAATAAAATTCTAAAAGACTAAAGGAAAATAATGTAAAAATACCTTAGAGCTCTTGTCCTTAAGGTTGATGACACCTGACATGATCATCTCATGATACAAGTCATTGCCTTCACGTGTTCTTTCACCAACACCAGCAAACACTGAATAACCACCATGAGCCTTGGCAACATTGTTGATCAACTCCATAATAAGTACAGTTTTGCCTACACCAGCACCTCCAAACAATCCTGAAGAAAGAAATCAATAATCAGACTAAAAATCAAGTATTCATTGACTAGAATAATTATTGTTGAGTTTCAATCAAATTAGGTGACTGAGTTTTACATACCGATCTTTCCTCCCTTTACGTAAGGTGCAAGAAGGTCTACAACTTTGATTCCAGTTTCAAGAATCTCCTGTTCTGTACCCATATCTACAAAGCTTGGAGCTTCAGCATGAATAGCAGCTCGCCTACAAGATAAATGCCGAAAAACTTTCAGAATATGCTAAATAATCTGTATTCTGATTTGCCAATAAAGCAGGGCTTAACAACCAATACTATAGACTATTTAAGAAAAGGTTTTGGCTTACTGAATGTTACAAAATTAAAGTATGAGTAGAATTGATGTACTTTGATGATAGAGCAGCCATCTTGCGAGGGGGCAAAACAAAGATGATGGAAAATACATAAAGTTTTGTTTTGTTTCTCTTCCTTTTATGGGTAAGGGTGATCAATGTGCTGTGTTCTCTTGTGATGTGCCATTAATATCAATTGACATCATTACTGTAAGAAAGCTTTATTTGCCCCCTGAACACCCCATAATGCCTTGCGATTCAAGATGGCCACTGTATAATTAAACTAGTCCATTGACTTACTTGTCAGTTGGAATGGGACCTCTTTCATCAATAGGTTCACCAATAACATTAATAATTCTTCCTAATGTTTCAGGTCCTACTGGAATTGTAATTGGTCCACCACTATCTATGCATTTATTACCACGCACAAGACCTTCTGTACCATCCATAGCAATAGTACGTACAGTCTTTTCACCTACAACATCATCACTAGTTAGCTTCTTAGATTCATTTTTGTTTGAAAACAGGCCATTTATTATGCTTGCAAAGGTCATTATATCCTTATTACCCTTATTAAAAGAAAATGTACACAAAAAAATTAAAAACATATACAATTGTACAAGTTAAAGGTACTAAGTGTTTCACATCAAAGTAGAAGTATGATTGATTATCTTTTCTTTTACTAGTTTCATGGGAAAAGATGAGGCCATTGGATGTGTGTAGTTGATAAAAATTAAGATATTGCTGTAAACAAAAAAGCTACCACATCAAAACTAAATAAAAATGAGATTAGATGCTTTAAAATCAGAAAATCTGGAAAGCACTGATGGCTATCAGTCTTCATTCCTACACTTCATGCTGCACAAAGCGCAATTAGTAACAAACACTACAGTATGGAGTGTGACTGTGCCTGGTGCCTGATGGAAAGCACTGATGGCTATCAGTCTTCTGATTGGCTGATATTTTGCACTATGGTAAAGGGAGTTTGTCGTGAAGGAAATCTCTGAAAATTCCAATTATAGAAAAGGATTGATCTCTAGTATGTAATTTGGGTATATGCTGTCCCTTGGAGCAACAAATATTAATTCATTTTATTTTATCATGAATTTATAAGCCATTACCACTTTATCTAAAGGAAAGATGAACTTTCAACACTTGTTTTTTGAGAAACTTTGAAAAAGTGGGAAAGTTAATGAAAATTTAAATCAATATTCTCATTTCAAACTTATTTTGAACATTTTGCAAATGAAGTAAAATAGCTTTCATTTAGGTACATCAGAGATCCTTACCAAGATGTTGAGCTACTTCAAGAATCAAACGGGGGCTCCTGTTTTCAACTTCTAAAGCATTGAGAATGGGTGGAAGACCATCTTCAAACTGTACGTCTACAACAGCACCAATTACAGCTACAACTTTTCCGACTGCACCAGGTTGGGTGGCACTAGGAGTAGATGCTTTTGGACTTGCTTGCGCGGCCGCTGCTGCCGAAACTGGTTTGTGAGTGGAGACATATCGACGGTTACCTAAAGCCGTGAAAAAATACAGTTAAAACCAATATTTCACTTATATAATATTCCCAGTACTAAGGCAATACAATCCTAAGGTACAAAGGAAGGTCTAGTTTATAGAAACATTAAAATTTAAGCAGCCTATTGGCAAAAATGAGGACGTACGAGTGTGCACACATGTGACCCGGCATCCAACGTGTCCAACTCCTTCAACTAAAATATCACTCAAATCCACTTAATTCAAGCAAAGAAATTGCAAAAAAATTACACTTACATAGTTGGTAAGCTGCCGGGAGTGTTAGACGTTGACTTTGTCTTAAGAATCGTGTAACTTGTCCAGGTTTTAGGCCAGTCCTGGTTACACTCCGTAATCCTTGCAGAAACATGGCGGCCAAGGAGAATGAAGTGAGCGGCTTTCCGACTTTTCTAGACATGTGATTCCCGATTTTTCCCGAGTAACATACGAATGTCTCCGAACCAAAAACGGAGATAAAAATAGTCCTCGGGAAAGCGCTCGGGTTTTTCGTATTCGCTTCGCTGATTGGCTAATCACGCGAACCAATATATATTATGTTAGATTCCACACGCGCCAGATTGGATGGTGGCCTAAGTAGGTGCTTTTCTATCTTGGGGAAAATTTTTTTTGATCCGCACTTTTCTCTGCATTTCGAATTGGAAATTAAATCAAGCGATCACCAAAGGAAAGCAAGGTTTGTATTTGAGGCCTGTGTTATCCAAAAGCATTATCAGTGCTTTAAAATTAAATTAGTTCTTCATTTAAATTTACAACAACAGAAACATGCTCACGTGAATATTTGCTGACTTCATTGATTTCTCTGGTTGTGGCCTAAAATTTTATTTGTAGGTTTCCAGCGTCACGTAATATCGTTAAAAAATGGCTTTAGGCACTTTCCATCTTACAGGCATGATTAAAGTTAAAATATACTAGCGATTCATAGTATTTTAGACGCTTCTTTTGATCGTCCCTTTCGGTACGGTAGAGAACGATTTAAAGTGCATTGAAGCTTCTTTTTTTCATGTTTACTATTATGGTTTATACACACGTTTTGCTCGTAATGTTCAAGTATTTTCTATTTGCACTCATGATCTAGCTCTTATTTTTGAATTTGTTATCTTAATAGTCCTGAAGGGACATATATAGGACGGCCAATGTGATTTTAGTACGTGGTTAGAATGCGTTTGTTTTGAAATGCAAATAAATCGTATTCCTTTTTACCTTTACAACAGATTAACATATAATCAAGAAGCCACTCATCGACTTGGTTTTCCCCATTGTTATATGTTGGACCTCGTAGACTGTAATAAACAAGCGCTCTTTCTGTTTTGATTTGAGATTTTCATCTCATGCAGTGCAAAGTCTGACCTTTCTTCGCAAAGGGGTGCAGCCATCATGCAGAGAAGCCAATCCAGTGCACACAGCATGTTTTGTCCTCGGATTTTCATGTACGTGTACCGTACATCTGCAGAATCAAAACACCAGTGAAGTCCTGATTATCATTGAAAACTTCTTAAATCAAAGGATTATCGAGCTCATTAGCTTATGACTGAGAAATGTTTTCTTCTCTTCTTTGGAGCACGTTATGGTGTAGATGTACGTGTGGATAAACAAAATCAATACACATTCTGTTTATTATATTATATTTGTCATCTTAATAGCCTGCAGCTTCAATGCTACTGTATCTCCAAAAGCAGATTGCAATTATGAGAATGAAATTATGTCAACGCTATATTTGTCTCTGCTTGTTCTTGGTAATTTTCATTTGGACGATACTCAATCTTATGACGCTATTTTTCTCCGGAGACATGAAGTCTAAAGTCTTAAACGATTTCGATGATGAGAGCCACATTTCCGATTCTGTCGGAGGTTCCGACAATGATCAAGATGTTAATGAAGTGGGAATTGTTCTGAATAACGAGGATTCAAAGTTGATAGAGCATGGATATACGAAACATGCGTTCAATCTCTTGATTAGTAAACGGCTTGGATTGCACCGTCAAATCAAGGACACTAGGCACGAACGGTGAGTCTAATTATTGGATTGATCAAAGAGAGTTTTTCATGATATATAAATAAAGTACATAAAAATTCAATAGAGGAAATTTATAGTTACACAGTCTTGATAGGATTTGAACGGATTTTCATGCTGACCCAAGGGCACTAATTATGGTGTGCATATTTATTCAGAGAGGGTCTGCATAATTCAAAGTCATTGTTTCCTGCTGCATTACATTTACAACACTCCAAGGCGATGGTAATTTTCTTATTGGCATTTTAAAAGATGTTCTATTCAAAAACACCTTTTACTCTCACCTTAGCAGTTCACCTGTCCCTTAACTAGATTTCAACTTTGAAAGTAAATTAAGTATATATTTTCCTGGGAAAGGGAGAATATCCTCAGGTATCTTCAGAGGTACAGCTGTGAGTTTTGATTTTATAGTTTGTGATAGTGTGTGCATAAATATTATCCTTGACTTCTCTTTCCCTCCTAAAACTCAGTTGAGTCAAGTTTTTCCCCCCCATGTGCTCACTTTTCCTCCCTCTCTGCTTGACCAAGTCAGGTAAAAACTCGACTCAACTAAGTAAGGAGTGAAAAGAGGAACTGTTAACAGTCTACTCTATTGGGGTATGATATAATCTTTTTTGAAATATTTAAATTTTTCAACCTTATTTACAGCAGAATTGTGATTACTTTATTTTAATTTCCTACAGGTGTCAATTAAAAACATATTCACCAGATCTCCCATTCGCAAGCATCATTATTTGTTTTCACAATGAAGCTTGGACTGTCCTGCTTAGAACATTACACAGTGTGCTAGACAGAACATCAGAATACTTACAGGAAATAATTTTAGTCGATGATTTTAGTGATATTACATACTTGAAGCATGAGCTTGACAATTATATTTCAAATTACCCAAAAATTAGAATTATTAGAGCTAAAAAAAGAGAGGGACTCATACGTGGAAGAATGATTGGAGCGAATGCAGCTCTAGGACAAGTTTTGGTATTTTTAGATAGTCACTGTGAAGTAAATGTCAACTGGTTGCCACCTTTGCTGGAGCGTATCAAGTTGGACCGTCACACTGTTGTTTGTCCAGTAATTGATATTATAAGTGCCGATACATTTGAATATAAAGCATCTCCAGCAGTGAGAGGAGGATTTAACTGGGGCCTTCATTTTTCTTGGGACCAACTGTCACCAGCGTCATTCAAAAGCTCTGAAGACCATGTAAAGCCTATTAGGTAAGAGCATAAAAGCTATAGCAATTTTAATTTTCCTTTAAGCAAAATGTGTGTGTGTGCCTTAAGATGTGAATCACAGCAGAGAAATATGGAGATCCAGGATTTTCCATAAGGGGATATAGTCACTCCCCACCAATTCAAAAGGTCATCACTTCAAAAAAGCATTTTGCTTCGAATGGAAAAGAAGGGTTACAGGCACAGCACCCTGGATTCCCTGATTTCTCCCTTGCTGAGGGTTGCATTTGTCCCAAATAATAACTAATCCCTCATTAATAGATCCATCTGCAGACAGAGGTCATGCAGTTGGAAGGAGAAATTGACAAAGTCATGTTGTATTGATATATGACTCAATGGCTATTGTACGACATGAGTATAATAAGTAGTTGTAATAAGCAGTTGGTTAAGTTATTACTGCAATGTGTGAAGTGATTGTGCATGCGCCATGCAGTCTGTCATGGAACTGGCATGCTTTCTAAGAGAGAGCTTACTGTAGCTAATAATTAACTTACATGTGATTAACCTTTAAACTCTAGGTCTCCTACCATGGCTGGTGGTCTTTTTGCTATTGACAAAGAGTATTTTCACTATCTTGGTGACTATGATCCAGGCATGGAAATCTGGGGAGCAGAAAATTTAGAAATTTCATTCAGAGTAAGTTGCAGTTAAGGTGGCTGGACCCCCTCACGCTTGACCGCTACCTTCCACTTTTGGAACGCTAGTGCATAAACGTCTTTTATCCGATTGCAAATCTTTTTTGCACATAAGTCACATAAAGATTGAATTAATATTTGATGCAATTTTTAGTGAGATCGGACGTCATAACACGTGATTTTGATGAAATATTTGATTTCGTTTAGAAAATAAATTTAGCCTTGCAGAGCGTTCAACACTAAAATGCTTCGTACCACATAATTATATACTGGATGCCTCCATTTGTGGGGATTTTTGAAAAAATCTATCTAGCTAATAATAAGATATTTGAGATTATTTAAATATAGTGCATAATCTACTTCAAAACTAAACAATGGATTTCATACTTGCTTGGCTGCTTTCCGATTTACCCCCAAAGTTTGGTAACAAATGCAGTTGTTTTTTTTATTCAAACGTGGGAGGTTTGTCATGATGTACTTTGTCAGCGTGAGTGAATAGAATCGGCGAACATGCCTCAAATTAAAACTTCAAGAAAGAAGCGAGCCATGCATGGTGCGAAAGAATGTGGTGTTATGATCATTAGCAAACAATAGAATTCCCAGAGCATCAAATCGTTGGGA